TTTTGGATTTTAAACATATATTAGAATTAGCTCTGTGGTTTAGTGGCTAGCATGTATCGCTACAGATTTGGAGGTCCTGGGTTAGAGCCCCGGGTCAGGCCAAGTTTAATTACTGAATTTTTCTGTTAAGATATTTTCAGTAACAGCCTGGAGTTGGGAAATTCGCGGTCAGTACTGCGCCTTAACTTCACATTTTACTTCAACTTCAAAGAAGTTCAACAAAGTTTAGTCAGGATTTGTAGTTTTAGAAATCTTTTAGCAAAGGCAATTCTCATCACTTTATATTTTATACAAATAAACTATATAATCTATATTATAATCTATTTTTATCTATTTTTATTTTTATCAATAAACTATAATCTATTTTTTTGTTTGTTTGTATGTACCGAATAGGCTCCGAAACTACTGAACCGATTTAGATGAAATTTTGTAAGAAGGTAGTTTGAGACCCTGAGAAGGACATAGGATAGTTTTTATCCTGGAAATCATCCCTTAAGAGGGTAATACTGGGGACGAAAGTTTGTATGCGGAATCAACCCAGGGATAAACCCGAGCGAAGCGAGGGTGAGTCACTAGTGTGATATATTTTAAATGGAAAAATCAGGCATGAAATTATTATCATAACTAAACACTATTAAGCTTGAAGAAAACTAACTAAGAAAATAAATAAGGGATATCCATGTAAACCGTACCTTATGAGAGGTATTTCTAACGCCCTACGGCTTAAATTAACTGTTTTCTTTTTTACACTGGCAATTTCGCTGGATCGATTCGCGATGCCAGTCGAATTGTAAAATTGACTTTGAGAGGGAGCCAGGAGTTTTAACTGTTATTTAGCGTGACTTTGCTTCAGTTTTTATCATTATTTCTTATAAAAAACTACTTTTTTCATTTTTGTATTGTATGATTGCTGTAAACCGTTCGAAACGTCGGAAACCAAAAATCAAAATAAATTCGCGCAAAAATCCAAGAGGTAAGTAGTTTTATTAAAAATGTCAATTTATATTTATTAAGAAAGTATTAATTTTATATTATCTTCTAGATATGCTCTCTTTTATAAAGACTAATCTTTATGTAATTATAAAGGCGTCGAAATTGTTTTCGATTATTAACATTCGGAAATTTTATGTTTTATTTATATTTAAGAATTCAATTTAAAGACACTGTATTCTTAAAATTCTGGCCGGATTGTAGTTTTTATTCTGAATTTAAATCATAATTTATATTTTTTTAATTAAAAATTACATTTGAATCCCTAAAATAGATAGGTATATTCAACTTGTCTGTTCTACTTACCCCATATTATGCAGCACAGGTAAACAGCTGACATGTTTTGTCTAACTTGCTAATAATAACCAATATGAAAATATGAGAAAAAAACACTATATTATTATATGGTAGAGATAGCCCAGTGATAGCGCGCTCGCTTGGGAAACCGAGTGTAGCGGGTTCAAATCCCGGGTCTCGCACCTCTGATATTTTCATGTGCCAATCACATTCTTAGGATGAAAGAAAACATCGTGAGGAAACCTGCATGTCTGAGAAAACCTAGCAAATTTTCGAAAGACATGTGAAGTCCGCCATCCCTGCCATGTGGTGAACTATGGCCTGACACCCCTCGTACTGAAGGGAGGCCCGTACCCAGCAGTGGGACGTTAAAAAAGGGCTGAATACATATGCATATGCGTATGTTTGTTCCTTCCTGACGCTGAAACGGCTGGATCGATTTAGATGAAATTTAGTACACAGACTTTAACTTGAAATAACACATAAGCTATTGTTAGTGATAATATTTACTAAAAAGTAAAGTTGATCGTTTACCAATAGATTAATAAAAATTATAATGTATGTATAGAGAAAAGTCGATATTTTTGTATCAAGACAAAACACCTAGAGACGAACTCGACCGAAGCGAGGGTAAGCCACTTGTACTGTTATATTATTCTAATATATTAAGGATTTTAAAAATATTATAAAATTTGAGATATGGATATATTAAAAATCAGTTTCCGATATCCGACAGTTTCGTTTCAATGCGGTTGCGTATTTGGATTTTAAAAAGAAAGGTAAAATAAAAATAAACAAAGTTATTAATAACAAAATCAACACAAAAATATTTTTAGGCTTTCATTAACTACTTAATATAAATACATAGCCACTTAACTCGCTTAGATTCCACCCTTTTTCGAAATTATTAGACTTTTATTTCGGATTCCGTTATCATTTGTGTTACAAAACTCAATGTCATCCCTAACATTAATAACTAGCGGAACCTGCGGCTTCGCCCGCGTTCAGTTAAAAAAAAAATGTCTTTATGCTGGGGTTCTTCTCTATGTGTTTATATAATTTGAATAGTTCTACAATAACGTATGGAATAAAGCCCGATTAGTTAGTATTTATGATTATAATAGCTCCTCTCCCTTGAGTAGTAGCATGATGATATATAGCATTTAACCTTCCTCAATAAACGCAATCTTATACCTAATGCAAAAAAAAATCAAATCGGCTTAGTAGATCCTGTGATTAGCGCGCTTAAACAAATACACAAACTCTGCCTCTTTATAATATTAGTATACATATACATTAATATTAATAATATATATTAATCAATTCGCATGAACGGACAAACAAACATTATATAAATAAAGAATAAAAATAAAAGATACGTTAAAGAAACTTAATTCAATGTTCAAGTGTTAAAACCCATGTAATACGTTCAATAAAATACAGCCACCCTTTAAAAAACATTGATACCAACATTCTTGATTCGAAATGCTGCCGCAAGAATTTCAATAAAAAATACCAAACGCTCCAATAAAGTAGAGCTCCCTCGTCTGAACGAGCCAAGGGGTTGAAAAACAATTTAATTTTACATATAAAATATCTATTACACTCGTGTTCTTTGAAACTTAATGACAATTTTTTGTTTTGCAAAAATGAAATTGTATGTCTTTAATTTAATATTCATGAATTCTTCGTATGAAAATCAAACTTTTTTTTTAATATTTTCCATTACATTTTTTTGTGTTAGACAAATGTTTATTACTATTTTTTTATTAAAAAGAAATGATTAATACAATATAACTTTTATAAATTGTCGTGATCAAAAATTAAAGATTTCTTTTATTTATCATATTGGAAAATAAATGAAACAAAATTATCGTTTTGTAATTTGTTTTTAATACTTTTTTTTTATAAATCGCTACTTTAAGTTATTGATATCAACAATATTTTTAAGTAAAAATGTGTGTGTTTATTAGTTTCCCTTAGAGTACTAACGTTTTAAAAAAGAAAAAAAATTAGACTTAAAAATATTGTCAATACGTCATTTTAACTAATACTGCTACATTGCACAATAAATAACTTAACTATTTTGTTAAAACTGATACTATTAAATATTTACAATTAAAATCATTATTTTACAAGTGAAATGCGATTTATATAATATTATATTTAACATCTATATTAACGATTTTATTTTAACGATGGCAAGATTTTAATTGAAAATTAATGATAAACAATAAATACATTAATATGACAATAAAATGAATATATAACATATTAATGAAATTAGCATGATGATTAATGATGCAATAATGTCATTAAATTATTAAGAGAGACCAATTCATTATTTGACCGATGCCATTAGCATGTAAATAATGCATTTTAATGATAGTTTTAGAATATTATCTGTCAAATTATTTATGATTTTTTATTTTTGAGTTATTATTAACAGTAATAGCCTCCTCAAGGTCTAAATTAATTAGTGTCATAAGAGTTGTCATGACCGTTCAACAAAAATATTATAATAAATTGTAGTAGTTAAATCGTAGATATCTACGTTTTATTTATATACTATTTGGAAATTATTTAAGTCGATAGATGTGCCCTTCTGCCATTCTAGTGATTCGTTTATTTTACGTTACCATGGTACAGCATAACATTTTAGTACCAAATGTATCCCGTCTCGCTCACTCATACTGAAAATTTTATGTCATCTATCTCTGTCATCTGCCATTTTTATTTAATAGAAAGCTAACACATGAAAAGTACGTATCACCTGTCAGGTTATCTGTATTTTATTAATTAATTCAATTAAGTAAATTCTAATTCTAATCTTTTCTTAAAAGCATTAAGCTTTTAAAATAAAAGTATCTTTTCGGATTTTTTCGCCGTTTTATTGTGATTTTTAGTTTCCGCGTTTCGAATGCTTTACAGCAATCTTGGTCATAGAGAAACTATAAGGTTTTTTTGAAATTGTTTTGTAATTTTTTGGGGAGGCACTGTCTGCTACAACTGCATAATGGCCTTAACACTTCTAAAATCTTAGTCTTAGTTAGGAGCCAAAAGTTACAAAAAATTCGCATAAAAAGTCCGAAGAGATAGTTTTATTTAAAATGTCTAATAGTCCCGTAAATCTAAGACAGTAGCATTAAGGTTTTAGTAAAATTTAAATAAAACAACGATAACAACTGTGTCATGCTGTATAGCCTATGGACGCCTGATGAGTGAGCTCACTCATCTCAATATGTAAACCTTATTAGCAACGCACGATGAGGGCAAATCTAGCGACAGAAATCTTTGCTATATTGATGTCCACTTTATTTAATGACTAAAATCCTAGATCTAGGTTTGATCATCCCGCTAAATATGCTAGAACCCAGATACTAAAATTATTTATATAATTATTATTTTTCATTTTCTACATATGAAAAATACACTGAGAAGTTAATTTTTTTGGTATAAATAATATCCGCACTATTTTTAAATGATTTTATTAACTTATCTTGCCTAATAATTATATAGATAAATAGAAAATAATATTTTGGCAGATTAGATTTTAAATTGAGATGATTTTGAAAAAAAATTATCCAACAAAATAGATAGTTGAACTCCAAGGGATCTCCAATACCATAAACTGAGTACAACAATAATACAAAACCAATAAACTTCTCAGTATAACGTCTCAATAAGAAACATCAAGAAACAAAATACGCTTACTGTCGACTCTGTTCTCTTTCTCTTGCCTTCATCTCTAACTCTTCTTCTTCCTTCGTTAAAGGAATTGTACTGTGGTTGTACAGGCCTTGGGCCATCAGTTGCAAGGCCAATGGGTTTCTTTGTCCAGACGCTTTCTTGATCTTTGCCCTTTTATTCTGGAACCAGATCTTGATCTGTGCTTCAGCGAGACCTAGCTCTGCAGCCAGAGTCTGTCTTCTTCTCTCAGTCAAGTAGCGGTTTTCAGCAAACTCGTGCTGTTTGAAAGAATTATTATTTAATTGACATTTATAAAAATCATATTTTATTGAAGTTGTTATTAGCTATTTGATATTAAAAAAGTACATTGGCTTATTATCTTTATTTATAAATGTATATAAAAATCGATATGTATGTATGCTGCCTATGGACTCCAAACGGCTAGTGTGATTTGATGAAATTTTCAGACAATCTTCAGATTAGCCCAGCTTGTAATACTGTGAAATTGGATAGCGATAGGAAGTTTAAACGCGGGCGAACCCGCGGGTAGCACTAGTTTAAATAAAATATTTGGCTTCAGATAGAAAGCACCGATTGTTGGATTAGACACCTGTTATTTAAATTACAACTTATAATTTTCTAGCATTTTGGTATATCCATAAAAAATGAAAAATTTGTATATCGATTCTGTAGTTTCCACAAATAATATCTACATACAAACAAATAATAAATATTCAAGGTTTTAGCTCTGGATGATAGAAATATGACTAAGAAATATCTTATTTTTTCAAAATTTAATATATACCTTTAATCTAGCAAGCTGTGGTCCAGAAAATGCAGTTCTAGGTCGTTTCTCATCAGCCGAGCCCCCGTCTCCTGGTGGCTTCTTAGGTCGTCTAGTGCGAGGGCCTAATAGGAAAATCCACGATATAATATTCTATATGATAAATACACGAAATGCTCCCTATTTAATGACTCTTTGAACGTTACTTACGTTGAACGTTACAACGTATATTGAGAATATTATTATAAATGAAATATATACATAATAAAATATATTATTTGTCTGGATGTTTACAATATTTTAGTCACAAAAACACATAAAACAATACACACAACAAGCACACAAAAATACAAAAAGCACAAACAAAGCAAACACAAAAACAGGCGCAAACACAAGGCACGTCCGTAGGCATTCCCGTCAAGCGGACGATGCAATATCTTAACCAATTCATACAATGATATCTTATTTTAAAATTGGTCAAAATATTGCACCGACCGCCTCACGGGTTCTCCGAAATAATGTTCCTGAAAAACAAGATTAACACAAACACACGACAAAAATGTACAATTGAACACAAATGCAGAATACATAAATGTTCTTTTAAAAAAAATAGGTGCAAAAAGTATGCAAAAAATATATGTAGCTACTTTATTGTATTTTTATACAACTCTTTAAAAATAATTAATTCAAAGCTTTAATAAGGCCTTACAAAATATTTGACACGTAAACAATTGTTTACTTCTGTTTTGGTGGTCACAGGTTTGATTCTTGTATAGGGCGAAAAGACATTGATCATATGTTTTATCGAGATAATAAAAAAGAGTAAATATATATCTTATTTAAAAAAATCATAATAATCGAAGTTAGCTCCCTAGATTATTTATTATAGATATTTATCATTTCCATACATTTTGTTCAGATTTCTAGAAGCAATAGCAATTGTAGAAAAAAATTTGTTTAAAGGTGGTTCTAAACAATCTATCAGTCTATGATTTTTCCAACTAAAGATAGAAACTTGACATAAGCTCCATACGTATAAGTTATGTCAAATTCCTATCCATAGTGAGGAAACAATGGTCAGATAGGTTATTGAAATCCACTGTAAGCCAACTACTTGAAATTTTCACAAGTTACAGAACTTCACTCAATATTAATATGAACGTATACATTTTAAATACAAATTCTTTGACATTTAACCCTCAAAATCCTCGAACCTCGCTAACTATACAATGATTGATTATAGGGTCAATGGCCTTACGTTTTTTCGGGGACATTTCCAAACCCATTATAGGTGCTTAATTTAATACGTTTTTCTAAGTCACGGTCCATCGCCGTGACGAAAAAAGCTCAACAAAAAATAACCAAATCACATGTCATAGATACATTACTTTGTTAAAAATTTATCAATCTTATTTATATATAATAGTGAATGCCTGTTTGTTTGTAACGTATATTTTTACACTTCATTCGATTGTTATGAAACTTTGGCGAGTTGTTGTGCGAAATCATATACCATCAATAAACGAAATCCATATAATTTAACATACATAAGGATGTAAGTTAATATACGTGTAGGTATGAACATATAAATATACGTATGAATTAATGTGGCATTACTTTACTTAGGGAATACCGTTCGAAAAAATAAATACGGACAAACATAGAACCTCCTTTTTGGAAATCGGTTAAAAAGTAAAAATTATAATATATAATTTCAGCCAGCAGATTGGTTTGCATTTATTTTTATTTGACTCAATCCTTGATCATAATTTCTTTATTATTATTTTATACATAACCAATAATAATATAATTAGAAGTACCATCGAAATCAGTTTAGCAATGATTCTCATATTATTATATTTAACGCAAAACTTATTATATTATCAGATAAAACATAACATAAAAATCAATACATCCAGACAGATATATACGTTTATATATGTAAATATTTATATAATAGTTTATAAAATGCCATATTAAAAAATTTAAAACGTCAATAACACTAAAGAAGTTGAAGTAAAAAAAAGATTCATAAAACCATTAAATCGATTTTGATGTAATTGTTATTAATTTAGATTTTTTTTTTCTGATTAATCTATTATTAATTCATTGTCTCTCACAGTTCATCCGTGAGCGGGTCCCGTACTTACTTCGTCCTGAAACAAAAGAAAAAATCACATCAGAAATCGCTTAGTCGTGACATTTTACACTAATATATACACTATACAGTCTAAAATTAGTTTGTTTTGTATTGAATTAAACGACTGGATTGATTTGGATAAAAATTACACAGATATACTATAATAACCTGGAGTACCTAAGACATAGGTTACTCTCAATTTTTGCCACAAGATGGCGCTGATCTTGTGTCAAAAGATGAATACATACATATGTACATATTATATATTCGTATCTCTATGTCTTTCCCTAAACATGTTTATATTATTTCTTTTTAATTATGCATAAATAAAACCTTAAGCAGGCGAAACCAAATGAAATAATTAGTTAAAAGATAACTTATCAGCCATTAGATTTAAAGAGTCAAGCTCGAGCGGTATACATTTCGATGTAATAATGTCTTAATTAGCCGGTTCGTGGGAGGTCCATGACGTCACCGGCCAGAGTAAACTTGACTGTTTCAAACTTATTTTACTTAAACTTAGTGATTGTGAGCCCAGTGGTTGAAATTCGACCGTAATCATAATTAAAATGTGAGGAAAACATATATAAATAGAATTTATCTATTTATATTAAAAAAACTAACTGTTTCCAATTTTTTTATTGATAATAATTAAGCTCTTCAATAGCTACTAAAGAAAAAAAAGAAAATCGTCGACAAACAGAAGGGAAAAAGGTATATATTTATATATTAAACTAGCTTGCTTCCCAATACAAACTTTCATCCCCATTTTCACACCCTTAAGGCATGATTTCCGGGATAAAAAGTATCCTATCCTTCCTTCCGTCCTTCCCACGGTCTCAAACTATCTTCTTACCAAATTTTAGTTAAATCGGTTCAGTAGATCCAGAGATTACAACGTCACAAACTCACAACCTCACAAACTCACAAACTTTACCTCTTTATAATATTAGTATAGATTTAGCCTACAGAGTGAGTGAATGTAACTTTGTATGAACCATAAATGCTATGTTAAGGATACCAAAGGAACATCTTACAACAGAAGCGAAAAAAATATAGGAACAGAAGCTATAGGTCTTTTTGTCGCTAATTATGACCTACATTGACCCTAACTGACTAACTAATACGAGTATTATGCCTCATATTCGTTTTGAAATAAAATGGCTACTAAAGCGCACAATAAAGCTTTTTATTTAATTTATTATATTTTTTAAATATGGTTAAAGGTATTTAAAAAATATAATAAATAAAATAAAAAGCTACATTGTAAGCTTTGAATATACTGTAATTATTCAATTAATTAATATTAAATACATATTTCAACCGACTTCAAATAGCAAGTATAACCCACTTTTTATAATTTTTTATTTATAATTTACCCAATATTAATTTTAATTGATATTCATGGTTTTTTTAAGCATTACATAACCACCCAGAGAGTGAAGTTTTTTTTTATATGGGCAACGAATTTTTCAGTAGAACTATGTACCTAGGTATATGGTGTTATACCCATGAGATTACCATGATATCAACTTATTTATTTTTAAAAATTTATTGATTTTTTAATTTCCCCGAGCAGATGGACAAGCGGATGCCACCAACGATGTTTAATAAAGACATTTTGCTGTTATACCACTAATATGTTGTTATTGATAAACAAATACCAATTTATATTAGACCTTATTTATATAAACATAAAGCTTTATATTCACTAATTGCATTTATAACAAGTGGATTTTACAATGTTTGATTCGTAATCTCTCACTAATTATTCTTCATAGAATTTTCAACTCTATTGTTGAAATAATAAAATTTCTTCTTAATTAAAATATTGTTAAGTTCAAGATGTTTGATTCGGAAAGGTTGTGTAACGTTCGTTAAAGAATATTTAACTTAATCGTTATTGTAATAAAGTTTAAATTTGCTAATTTATTTGGAATAATTTTCAGTACTTGTAATAAATTTTAAAGGTAATATAAACTTTACTATCGTAAGATTAAAGTTTATTTCAGCTTAATTAGATGTTAATTAAAGATAATAAATAAAATCAGCAATTAAGGGGTATTTGTAGTTATGGTTTATAGTCTATTAAGGATCAAAGGATTCAGAAGCCGAAGCGTTTCCGCTTTCTTTATTTTTTAATAAAAAAAAATAATCTCTCACAAAAACTAAATGTAGAGTCTACACCTGTTTTTGAATAAAAAAAAGAATAAATACATATAGATTACATAATCCATTATTTAATATATATTATAAACCGAATAAATTATTAAAAAAATCAATAAAACATTAATTTCAAAAAACGCGCTATATTTAGAAGCGCGTTGAAAGTGATGTCTATGGAGATTGAAAACCATACAACATTTTTAATTATTTAATATCTGTAATCCTCCACAAATTAAGTTCAAAAATGGCTAAGTATATGATTAACATATAATTACTTAGGCACTAGGAATGCATCAGTGAGAAACGAAAGTCGCTAGAAATAATATAATTTAGGCTCGAGCCACACTATAGCGCCGACCTGAGTTCGTTCTTATTCCGATATCGGTCTGGTAAAGTATTTATATAAGAAATAATAATTACATTAACACTGTCAGTAAGAGTCAAGGTCCAATCGAATCACACTCCAGCAACGTTTTTTTGTATGATTATAGATTTAAAAAACTAAAAATCACACTTTTGATTAATTGAAATATTTGGGAATAGTGAAGACGAGTCATATGAGCCCAAACTTGAGGGGTTTACTAGTAACCACTGAAGAGTTCCACTATTCACCTCCCGGCTGCATCATCAGATCAGCTCCAAGATACCTAATTATATTACTGCCCTTTAAACAAAGTATCATTTTTATACGACAATTCGAAGTAGAATAAAATTGACTTTCAAGATTTAATTACATTGTTCGTTAGTTACAAGTGAAACTAATACATTTGCTTAAATAAATTCATATTAAGTTTGATGTAATTTAAAGTTTATTTTTTATTTTTAGGTATTTTTTCGTATACTTCTCGGCAAACCCTTTCGTTTGATATCCATATCAGGGGGGTAAATAAAAAAAATCCTCCATCGTTGGGCAGGGCATCCGCCATCTTAGATTTAGAATGATGTCACTTATCTAACCATGTATTGTCATCCGAACTAAAGGTGTACGCAAAATCTGAGCTCAATCTTTTGAGGATAACTGCTTTAAAATTCAGTTGCAAAATTTGACCTGAACAAATATACATACAAACATTGAATGTTATATTTTTATATTGAATAAAAGCTTGTAAAAAAATAAGAAGAAGAATCCTTTCCAAATAATACTTTACTACACTTTTATTGGACCGAGAATGGACTGTGATCGACACTATAGTGTGGATCAGCCCTTAATAGCCCCATTGCTAGTTTTGGGCCGTGTATTATGGTTCGTGCATATCTAGACTAATGTTATAAAGAGACAGAGTTTGTTTGTTTCAACGCGCTAATCTCAGGAACTACTAATCCGATTTGAAAAATTCTTTTTGCATTAGTTATTCCGTTTATTGAGGAAGGCTATAGGCTATATATCATCATGTTACTATCCAAGAGAGCGGAGCAGTATTCATATATGTCAACAAATCGGTCAGACTTCCATACGTTATTGTAAAACTGAAACTTTTATCGGAAATTAATATGGATTAAGCTGCGGGTACTGCTAGTCTATTACAATTACTTGATCCTTATTGTATTTATTATTATATATATAAAAAAAAATTAAAGGTCTTTGAATCTCTTGAAATCATACCATCTATCGTATCACAAAAACATACATTCACCTACATTAGTTTCTTCCTATTTTTTTATCATTTCATTAAAACTATATTAGCCTCTTCTGTTACAAGAACAGCAATTCTACGAAAACCACTAACATCTTTCGAATTTAAATTAAAAAATTTAATCAAATTATCTTGCAACATCTTCGTTTACACTCCACTAAAATATGAAGTTCGTCTTTTATATTACCACAAGTAGCTACGAGTACTACATTTACCTGACAGTTTCTTGATCGACCTATATTTAGATCTTTTGATTCTAAATAGACTCTGACGGAATGCCTAAGCCAAGTAAGGTCGCGTGATTAGTTTTACTATATGCATTATGCATATAATAATTATCCAGAGA